AGTACCAAATGATTTCACTCATATGTGGAGTATAAGAACAAAGAAAAACTGAAGGAACAAAACAGCAGCAGAATCACAGAACCCAAGAATGGACTAATGGTTACCAAAGGGAAAGGGACTGGGCAGTAGGGGGTAAGTGAGGGATAAAGGCAGGGAATAAGAAAGGGGGCCTTGTGATGACCATGTATAATGTGGGGAGGGTATAGGGAGGGATGTGCAACACAGAGAAGACAAGTAGTGAGTCTACAGCATCTTACTACGCTGATGGACAGTGACTGTAATGGGGTTTTTTGGTGGGGGGATTTGGTGAAGGGGGGAGTCTAGTAACCATAATGTTCTTCATGTAATTATAGATTAATGATAACAAAATGATTTTTAAAAATTGTAGCTACGTCCAGGTCAGGGTATCCGGCCCCTTGGGCATCTGGCCCACCCTCTGCGGGCATCTGGCCCATCGGTGGCCCTGCGGTGTGGGAAACGTCCCTCACCCAGGCTCCCAGGACATCTCCTCTGACTTGGCGTGCTTGGGACACTGGGCGCTCCTCTCAGCAGGATTAGTTGGGGAGTGGCACAGACATGGGGAACCAGCCCTCAAAAGCAGAGGCTCAGACCCCTTTGCAGTATCTCATTTCTAATTTGGCTACTCTATAGTTGTCCCAGGAAGTTCGCAAACGGAAGCTGGTCTTTCTTTTCTCTGAGGCCGGGCCTCAGTATCCCTTGGACAGTCAATCTTGCTGGCCCCCTGAGGGAACTTTCGATTTTGGCCTCCTCACCGACTTCACTAATTATTGCCACCGGAGCAGAAAGTAGGGTGAAATTCCTTTATGGACAGGCTTTTTGGACCTTGCGCTCCTGCCCAGGCCTTTATGTTAAGTGTTCCACAACTCAGGTTCTCCTGGCCCGATCTCCAGTTAAGGATTGTCAGCCTCTTACTCTGCCCAGTCCTTCTTCCTTTTCAGATCCGCCAGAGGACCTTTGTCTCCCACCTCTCTCAGCTCGCTACCCACCCTCCGCCACCACCTTTAAGTTCTTTGTCCTCCCCCGCGTCGCTGCCATCTTCAGGTCCTTTGTTCCCAGCCATGCCGCTTTCCTGCTCCTCTCCTCTTCCGGTGTCTGCACCTCCCTCCCCCTCTCCTTCCACCTTCACCACCCTCGTCCCCCACCAGAACACACTCCTTCCACCCTCCGATTCTGGAAGCCACGGACAAGCTAAAAAGGAAAGAAAGCAATTAAATATCAGTAACTCAAATCTTTATATCGGTTTGTCTGTCTGTGTATATGTTTTTATATGAAAAGTGTTGCTAACTGTAGTCATTATGTCTCAATTTGTATGTCTGTCTAAGTGTGTAAATGAAAAATATTTTCCTACCTCCAGATGGTATTAATAAAAATTTATTTAAAAACAAGCACTTATGAACATTGGAAATTCTAAAACTTCCAGAAAATCTAATAAAAAATATTAAGCATTAATGCTAATTTAAGTTTAACTGAAACAGACATGTCCTTATGGTTTCAGGTGCCTAAGTTCACTTAAAGTCATTTAAGTTGATGTTATCTGTTAAACATTTCAAGAAGATGCTTAAAGAAAAGCTTGACTTTGTCTGATGTTTGGTAAAAGTTTTGTAAATAATCTAGCATGGTTGCTAAAAATAAGTAAACAATTGTAGCAAATAAACATCTTAATAGTAATACTGTATTAATGTATAACAGTATAAATATGCAAACAGCCTGAGAATTTTTGTAATAACCAAAATTCTTAAAGTTTGCTAAGTTATATAGACATATTTTGTGCCTAATAAGAAATTGTGCTATAAAGCACATTTCCAAAAATGATAATATACATTCATAGATGTTTCAATCTGAAGAATGCTAGTGTAACAGTTTACGGTGGCCTATTTTTCAGTGTTCACTAAAAGTTAAAGTAATAGTTTTAAGTTCTAATGAAAACTACTTAATAAGGAAAATATTTCTGTATGCTAAAGATGTGTGTTTTAATAAGAGAAAGAATAAAAAATGGAAATTCGTTTTGTTGAGGGTAAAAGAAGGTAATTGTTCTAAAGTGCAGCTATTTATTTAAAAAGAAAGAACACTGAATGTAAAAAGAAAGTTGTAGAAAGCTTGTGAAAAAATTAATATAGTCATGCTATGTGAAATTAAAGCAAGTGAGTCTTGATATCAAGTACAGAGCAAAATTAGAATTTTGTTTTCAATTAAAAAGACAAAATTTTCTTAAACTTAGTCTGCTCTTAATGTTGAAAGATTGCAAAAGGCTTTCTAATTGTTTTATAAAAATAGTTTCTCATGCTTAAAATCTCAATGAATTGTCTAAGTATTTAAGAAAATGAGATTCTAATATCAAGACTAAATGTTAAACTTTGCTAATAACTGTGTAACCTTCTCTATTTCCCTTTAAAATCTTTTATTGTCATTCTAGTTGAATGGATAAGTATTTCTTCATGGCAACCTATAATCCTATTTAAGCAAATGCCAAAGAAACTTTCTTCTGACAACTTTCCAAAATCAAATTCAAAAAAGTGCTTTTACCTCTAGTTTACCTCTGATATTTTCCAGAGGTCCCCTGGAACATGTCAGAAAATTTTTTTCTCCTCGTTGGGAAAAATATTTGCCTAATTTGGCTTATTTATCTGATATATATTTACCTAGAAAGCACTGTCAAAAAGAATGATGCTTAACTTTGTTACTGAATGTTTTGTGTTACAGAAATATCCAAATTTCCCTATGACAACTGTCTTAGAATAAGCTACCATTAGATCTTTAATCATTGTCATTTGTAAGTCTTTTGTCATCTATGCTCACTGTTTTATTACTCTAAACTAGTAAAAAACTAGATTTCAGCAGAACAGGTATTTGTTACATAGGATTAAGTAAACTAAGGAAGATGATTTTGTGGCTTTTTGTTTCAAATGTTGTTGATAGTGTTTTAAGCTTTTTCTCTTAAGCTGACAACAGTTTAGTAAATGATTGTCTTTGTAAGCAGAATTGAAGCTTTATTTTTCTCTCTATCTGATCCCTCCAGAATTTAAAAACTCTCAGTGACTATTTTTATATCTCATGGAAGTATGTTTATTTGCATAAGTTCAATAAGAATCTACTTTCCTTGTAAGAGGACCAATTAAAAACACAGGTTATTCTACTAAGGCTTCGACTGGAATGCCATACCTGAGAGACACGTGCATAAACTCAGATATGAACAGACAGCTTTAAGGAACTAAGATTGACTTTATAAAGTCAACAAAGCCCCTTAGAAGAACTGGCCTGGTACCTTGCTTACAGAGTTCCCAGCAGCCTTATCAGGTGAGTAAGGAAGGTCACTTCTGGGCAGGTGCAGGAACCTCAGGGAATGTCTTGAGAACCTCAAGAAGAGAAGAATTCACCCAAATCTACAGGTACTGCAGGCACAACCTGATAGCAAGTCTGGCTTGGCTTTCTGGCCTCAAGAAGCCCTTAAAAGTTCAATCTGAAATTCTTTACAAAAAGTTCCAGCAAAGCACATGTAAAAGACCCCATGTAATCAATTACTCTTCTTGCTGCACTTATGCAAATAATCAAGCCAACTGTTACTTATTTTCTTAATCTGGCTACTTCTAATAAAAATGAGGGTGATTTTAGAGAAAAGTATTGTTTCAATAATGCAGTCTTATCTATACTAAATCCTAATACTAGTCATTGAGATGTAAACTTGATCCAGAATTCTAGTTTCTCCATGACACCTGGCTATGATTCTCAATTAGACTCTTCATATTTCTAGTTTTCATATTCAGCCATGCATTCTTAATCTCATCAAGTTTGTCCTTCCAGAAAATCCAACTCCACATGTTGCTACTTAACCTAATAACACAATTTGTTCTATCTTGCCTAGAAACCACAAAACTGAAAATAGTAATAGAAATGAAACCCAGAATAGAAGTGCCAACCTTCCGAGGCCCTCTCAACTGACCAGCGATGGAAACCTAGCTACACCCTTTACTGCGCCCCCTCTCAGCATGAAGCAGCCAGATCGAGTCGGTGCCCATTATAACCAAAAGGCTGGAATGTAAGGCTGGAGGCACCAGAGGGAGGGGTGAGCACGCGGGACACTGATGATGTGCCAAAGTCCTTGGCTGCTGTCCCCTCCTAACCTGAAAAATGTGCCTTAGGCTAGCCAATCCTCACACCGCTGTAAATCTAAGCTTTGCCTCCCCACTACCTTCTTTAAAAACTCGCTGTCTGCCCTGCTGAGCATGTCTTCCCCAGCCTGTAATAGCCAGACTGGGGAACATCACCTGGGAATTGCACTCAAATAAACTGCCTGGCCGTTTGTTGCCTCTTGTCTGCTTATTTCAGTTAGAATTTACTTTACATAGGCTTTTTTGTTAACTTAGAAAATCATTGTGAAGCACTTTCAAATATATGACCTGCTAAAGAGGAATTCTTGGGCCACCATCACTTAGTCATTGTGAGATCCTGGGTAATTCCACCCCTTCTCTGGGCCTCCTTGCTCCAAAAAAATATCAACTGAATTTTAGAGATGACAAACATTCACTAGTGTGTGGGACCTGGCCCACATCAGGGTTCTTACCACCTGCAGCACATTCTGGTCATCTGGAGTGCTGTTAATAACATACTGAAGCCTGGCCTGCTCCGGACAAATTCAAAAGGGATGTGAATGAGGGAAGCCCAGCCAGAGGGTTCTTTCTAAGTGACACTGAAAGGGCCTCTTCTCTCCAGGTGTCACTTTGGCCTTTTCATGTTTCGTTCCTCTGTGAGAACAACCCATCTCTCATTTGATTCCCACATCCAAAATTCAGTTACTTATGAGACGCGCACGGAGAGCAGCAAGCACGCAGAGGTTGTGAAGACTCGGGAGAGTGCTTGGCTCGTGGCGACAGCCCAGAGTCCACAACCGACCGCTGCGGAGGAGACCGCGCGATACTGGATCCTGGAGTCAGCGGCACATAAAAACGAAAAACATTTTTATAATCAAAGCTTTATCCTGTTACCTGAAATCCGTCACTGACTGGCAGGGAAATGGTCTGTAACTTAAATCCCTCACATCCTCCTAGAACAGTGCCTCCCAGTTCGCGGTTTCCGATGAGGGATGGACTCCACCCTCTCACCACGCGTCCCGCTCTGAGCGGCAGCCAGGGCGCCGCCATTTTTCCCGACACGCTCCTGTCACAACGCCGGCACCGCCCCCGGCCTCCGCGGCTACTTCCGCCCCCTACAGACGTCAGCGGCTCTGCCGCGCACGTCACGAGGCTTGTTTTCTGGCGTCTCTGACTGGCCGGCTCCTTTTGCGCAGACCTAATGTCCTTTCACCTGATAGTCACTCCCTCAGCCTTGGGACGGTCTGAGACCCGGAAGCTGTGACCTGTGGCTCCACTGGCCGGGGTGCGCTAATGTTTTTCTCGTTTCCATCAAAGGACTAAAGTTCTGGGAAAGGAGCCAATCCTGGTGGATCCTTCAGGTGATAGAGACTCCAGGTCTGTGTCACCCGGGAAGAAATACCCCAAGGTGGGGCGTGAGGAGGGCAGGGTGAGGCTGGTGCGGAGCCCCAGAACTCCCACTGCCCCCTAGTGGCCCTTACCTGTGGTCTGCGGTTACTGGGCTTTCCTATGAAAGACTTCAAATAGAAAAATACAAAAAGTAGTGTAATGGAAACCTGGCTAGCCACACCCCCAGATTTTTAAAGTTAACTTTTGATAGTGTTTGCTTCAAATTGCCTTTTGAGAAACAACGTAGCCAGTTAAGCTGAAAGAAGAATTCCTCGCCTATCCCCCTCAGGGGCAGTCACACTCCTGAAGATGAGTTGTATTCTTCCGGTACCTGTTCTTATTAAAAATATTAAAAAGTCCTTCCCCAAGTATTAGATGCATTATGATACATTTAAATGAATATTTAAGGAAAGGAAAGGCAGTATCAAGTCCTGCCTTTCTGCACTGACCTTTTGTATCTCACCTTTTGTCTTTTACTTTTTTCCCCACGTGGTAATTGATTTCGTTTATCTATGTAGATATATGCAGCTGAGAACATCACCTTGAAAAAACAAATGATGTATTCTTATGTTTCTTTGTTGGTGAACATTTACGTTGCGTATTTCCACAGTGGAGGAGAGCTATCAGGTGATCTCACTATTTCTAAGATATTTTTAAGACCTTTCAGCCTGTTTAAAGATCCGTGTTGCTGTCTGACTTATCTAAGGAGGAGTACTCTGGGATGTGCATCACTTCCCCTTACCTTCATCCATTGTATCTTTTCACCATCCCAATGAAGGACTCCCAGATTCCAACAATTACTGAGTGCTGCCAGGTGGCTTCCAGCATCTAGAATTCCGCACTAGCACGTGAGAGTTTTTAATGTTCCAATTTTTGGGTACCATGTCCTTGCCAACCCTTGTTATTAATCTAGCTTTTGAATTTGTGCCAAATAGGGAGTAAAGTAGTAGCTCCTTTGTTTTATTTGTCCATTTTTAGAACTAGTGAGTTGTAAATATCTTGAAATAACTTAGTATTTCTGTTTTCTCAGCTGTATACTGCCAGGTAATATCCTTTGTCAGTTTTTCTGTTGAGGAAATGAGAATTTTTTGTTGATTTTTCAGATGTTGTTATAGTCTAGCTATTAATCCTTTGTCGTTTCTTGATATTTCTAGTATCTTCTCACAAGTGTGTTGAAGTTTGTCATAGGTCCTTTAATTGGACAGAAAACCTTAACATAATAAAATTAATTTGACTGTGGCTTGTGCCTGCAGGATCTACTTTAGAAGTTCTGTTTTATTTTCTTCTACAAACTTGAGAGTTTACCTTATACTTTTAGGCAACTTAATTCATTCCAATTCCACCTTGGTAGGTGATGATAGGTTGGGATCCAGTTTAATGTTTTTTATTGCTGTGTCACCATCTACAAACTATCTGTCCTCTCCCCATTTATCGGCTCTGCCTTCTTTTCATATGTTCAATTCCTGTATCTAATTGCTTTAGCTCTTGATTACCTTCCAGTATTTCTTATTTTTTTGTTTCTTGCAAACTGTTTTAATTTGCATTTCCTTGCCTTTTGCAAGTTATTGGTCATTTTGTACTTTCTAATGCCATTTGTTGATATATCTTTGTCTAGTATTCTTTTGGGTTGCTTTTCTTTACTGATTTTTAAGTGGTCTTTATGTATTTTGGATTCTAATCCTGAGTGATGTGTGAACATATACTTTCTACAAGTGCATTGTATATACCTTAATTGTGATTACAGTGCCTTTTGTTTTATAGGAATTGTTAATTTTGGGTTAAAATTTAATAGTATATAATTTTTGTATCTGATTTAGAGGAGCCTGCCCTTCCCTGAGGTAAAAAATATTTCCTTATTTTCTTATGAAATTTTAAAAGATTTTTTTTATGATCTGTATCTTTATTAGATCTGGAATTATTGTGCATGATATGGGGATATAGCTATAATTTTCGTTTGATTTGATGTGAATGCCAGTTAATTCTAGCCAATAATATTTTAATAAAAAGTCAACTTTACTAAGGAATAATTTGTACAGAGTAAAAGGCACCAGTGTTAATTATACAATTCAACAAATTTTATATGCCCATGGAGTTACCACCATAGTCAAGATATAGAATATCCATCAGTTTAGGTAGATTCCCCTGCCCCCCAGCTCCCCATACCCTTGGCCCCAGGCTACCACTGATCTGCTTTCTGTTATTACAGCGTAGGTTTCCCATTCTTAGGATTTCATATGAATGGAATTTGTATCATATGTATTTTTGTATCTGTTTTTTTTTTCCTCAGTATGTTTTTGAGATTCATCTATGTCATTGCATGTATAAATAGTTTGTTCCCTTTTATTGCTGTATTTCATTTTATGGATACAATACAATTCGTTTATCTACTCACCTGTTGATGGACATTTGGGTCACTTCTAATTTATGGCATTATGAAAAAAGCTGGTATAAACACTTGTATATACATCAAGATGTGGACATGTTTCTGTGGCTCTTGGGTGGACTTGCTTCTTTCTATTAAGTGTTTGAAATAGCAAAGTGACAAAGAAGCCTACCACTGGAAGAGCGCAGAGACAAAATGTAGTAAGTTGAGCAGTAAGAAGTCTATTTAAGGCAAAAATGCACACTTGAAGAAAAGGGAGTATGGGCAACCTCAGAGAAGAAGCATGCTTAAGGGTTTAGGGTTTGAGTTTTTATAGGGCCTTTTGGGTAACAGCTTAAGGCATGATGTATACAAGTGATTGATAATTCCTTTGAAGTTTAGTCTTAATAATAGGGTTATTTAAGTGACTGTGTTGGTCTAGATCTCGGCATTCTTTATCCACATAGTTTTATTTGCACTTTGGAGGTTCATCTCCTGTCCCAGTTATAGTTACTTAATTGATTAAAGGGGTGGAAGAAGAGGAAGAATAGCATATAGATTAAGTTAAAGAATAAACTGGGTAAGTAGATTTAACAGTGGCTTGACCCTTGTTCCATTTCCCTGCCCTTTGAAACTTCAGCTAATTAATTCACTCTGTGAGTCTTTTCTGGCTAACTTTTTGAGTCCCTTTTAGTGGGCTTTACTGGCTTTATTCTCTCCCCACCCTGCTCATGTCTGTCTTTCTGCCTGACATTTCTACCACAAAAACAAAAACACACCAGCTGCATTTCTCATTGGGATTGTATTAAAGCTGTATATTAATTTGGAGAGAATTGATGTCTTGATAATTTTAAGCCTTCTAATCTGTGAATATGGTATGTCTCTCCATTTATTTAGGTCTTACTGAATTGATTTCAAAGGTGCCTAAGGGAACTTGGGGTCACAGGAATATTCTGTATCTTGGTTAGGGTGGTGTGGCATACAAATATACATTTGTCAAAACTCATCAAGCTGTACATTTAAATTTGTGTAGTTTACTGTTCATAAAAGGGACTTCAGTTACTATATTTCTTTCATTGACATGATTCATAATCATCTGCATTGTTTGACTTATGCATCATTTTATCTGTTGGTTCTATGCTCAAGGTGCTGCATTGGCTCATTATTGTCTTAAAGTCCCAATACCAACCCAATCTGGGGATAAATCCTGTAACATAGTAGGAAGGGGAGACAAGCCATATATATATATATAGTCAGCAAAGCACCTATGTCATGGACTATCACATATTTACTACAGTCCCTTTCCTTTTCTTTCTGGATTCAAATTTAGACTCCTGCTAAGCCTTACTTGTCAGTGTGTGTGGCGAAGTGACTGAGTTCTGGTTTATAGTAGGTGGGCAAAAGTGATGTGGACCCTCCCACACTTCCACCTACCAGTCACAATACTCCATACCTTTTTTTCTCTTCAGGCTTCCTAGATTAGAGACCATCACAGGGCATCCTTGGGAGCAGTGACCTGAAGATGGACAAGCCATAGGATGGAAGGAGCTGCATCTCTGAGTCACCACTGGAGAACAGTCACCCCCAGTGGATTTGGAGAGAAGTCTTCTCTAATATTCACTTCTAAGTCCCCATTGTAATCTACTTCTTTTATTCTCCAGCACTCAGTGTGGTTTAGGTTGAATTCTAGATTCTCATAATATCTTGGACATGGATAATAAGGAAAAGACCTTCACAGATATGTAAGGCAAAGCAGATCAAGACAAGCAGAGCAGGCTGAGTGCAGTAAGACTTCACAGGGTAAATGAAGGCCTTGCAGAAGAGCAGAGCAGTGGTGCAGAGGTAGGCCGCTGAGGGAGGTAGGTCCCCGGGTCATGCCAGTACCCACCAGAGATTGGCAGCACTATTTAGAGAAACTGAGAAAAAGCTCTACCTACTGCAGTCACAAAAGACTGGGCTCAGAATGGTGGGTAAATCAGGGATTAACATCTCCATTTGATGGACGAGGAAATTAAGTTTTATGGAGATTAGATTGTTGGCTTAATACAGTACCTTATTTCATGGTAGAGGCACAGTAAATATTTGTTGAATGGATGTACTAGTCTAAGACCTTTAATGCTTAAGCCTCTACCAGGGATTGAGAATTTGCCTATTAGGTGATCTGTAGAGCTGTGGTACTGGTAGTCAGGAAGATATGTGGTTGGGTACAGTGTTTTAAAAAGTTTGGATGTTAAGTGTGCTCTCCAGTATGCCCTAAGCCTTACCACTCCCTATTGCCTTTTAACTCACCCAATTACCATGTAACATCAACCGTCTCTCTCCTATGGCTTTAGTTGTATGGATTCCTTGCTTACACTTTCCTGTTCACAAGTCCCTCTTTAAATAGAGTTTATTCCTAACCCTGTCATTAGCCCTTTCCCATCTCCTTCCTGCAGTTATCTTCCCTCTTCCTCCCTTTATCTATCCACATATGTCCTCCGTATTTTCTCAAGCTTCTTAATGTTATAAACATAAATTTAGGCAGCTGTTTATAATATGATTGAACTAGGAAACCTGTGTAAAGAATAGAATTATACCAGATCTACTTTCTATAACTTTGTATTATACATATTTAAAATATATAAATATTATTGTACCATGTGGTTATTACGCAAACAAGCAGTGCTTATAAATTATACTTAAGGTAACCTTTATAAAAATGTCACAACTGCCTGGGTATCTTGCATGACTCATTGTATTTTTTCTTAATCTGCTGAACAAGGGGTTAGAAGGGGTCATCTTTAAGGAGCTTTACAGGTACACAGCCAAGGTTCTGTGATTACATAGTTACTACTCAGATGAAATGTAAAGCCAGGAAAAGAGGAGAGTGATGTAGTACAGGGTGGAAGTTGCTTGATACTAACTGGGCAGAGTTCTCACTGGATCCTGGAGTCAGCGGCACATAAAAACGAAAAACATTTTTATAATCAAAGCTTTATCCTGTTACCTGAAATCCGTCACTGACTGGCAGGGAAATGGTCTGTAACTTAAATCCCTCACATCCTCCTAGAACAGTGCCTCCCAGTTCGCGGTTTCCGATGAGGGATGGACTCCACCCTCTCACCACGCGTCCCGCTCCGAGCGGCAGCCAGGGCGCCGCCATTTTTCCCGACACGCTCCTGTCACAACGCCGGCACCGCCCCCGGCCTCCGCGGCTACTTCCGCCCCCTACAGACGTCAGCGGCTCTGCCGCGCACGTCACGAGGCTTGTTTTCTGGCGTCTCTGACTGGCCGGCTCCTTTTGCGCAGACCTAATGTCCTTTCACCTGATAGTCACTCCCTCAGCCTTGGGACGGTCTGAGACCCGGAAGCTGTGACCTGTGGCTCCACTGGCCGGGGTGCGCTAATGTTTTTCTCGTTTCCATCAAAGGACTAAAGTTCTGGGAAAGGAGCCAATCCTGGTGGATCCTTCAGGTGATAGAGACTCCAGGTCTGTGTCACCCGGGAAGAAATACCCCAAGGTGGGGCGTGAGGAGGGCAGGGTGAGGCTGGTGCGGAGCCCCAGAACTCCCACTGCCCCCTAGTGGCCCTTACCTGTGGTCTGCGGTTACTGGGCTTTCCTATGAAAGACTTCAAATAGAAAAATACAAAAAGTAGTGTAATGGAAACCTGGCTAGCCACACCCCCAGATTTTTAAAGTTAACTTTTGATAGTGTTTGCTTCAAATTGCCTTTTGAGAAACAACGTAGCCAGTTAAGCTGAAAGAAGAATTCCTCGCCTATCCCCCTCAGGGGCAGTCACACTCCTGAAGATGAGTTGTATTCTTCCGGTACCTGTTCTTATTAAAAATATTAAAAAGTCCTTCCCCAAGTATTAGATGCATTATGATACATTTAAATGAATATTTAAGGAAAGGAAAGGCAGTATCAAGTCCTGCCTTTCTGCACTGACCTTTTGTATCTCACCTTTTGTCTTTTACTTTTTTCCCCACGTGGTAATTGATTTCGTTTATCTATGTAGATATATGCAGCTGAGAACATCACCTTGAAAAAACAAATGATGTATTCTTATGTTTCTTTGTTGGTGAACATTTACGTTGCGTATTTCCACAGTGGAGGAGAGCTATCAGGTGATCTCACTATTTCTAAGATATTTTTAAGACCTTTCAGCCTGTTTAAAGATCCGTGTTGCTGTCTGACTTATCTAAGGAGGAGTACTCTGGGATGTGCATCACTTCCCCTTACCTTCATCCATTGTATCTTTTCACCATCCCAATGAAGGACTCCCAGATTCCAACAATTACTGAGTGCTGCCAGGTGGCTTCCAGCATCTAGAATTCCGCACTAGCACGTGAGAGTTTTTAATGTTCCAATTTTTGGGTACCATGTCCTTGCCAACCCTTGTTATTAATCTAGCTTTTGAATTTGTGCCAAATAGGGAGTAAAGTAGTAGCTCCTTTGTTTTATTTGTCCATTTTTAGAACTAGTGAGTTGTAAATATCTTGAAATAACTTAGTATTTCTGTTTTCTCAGCTGTATACTGCCAGGTAATATCCTTTGTCAGTTTTTCTGTTGAGGAAATGAGAATTTTTTGTTGATTTTTCAGATGTTGTTATAGTCTAGCTATTAATCCTTTGTCGTTTCTTGATATTTCTAGTATCTTCTCACAAGTGTGTTGAAGTTTGTCATAGGTCCTTTAATTGGACAGAAAACCTTAACATAATAAAATTAATTTGACTGTGGCTTGTGCCTGCAGGATCTACTTTAGAAGTTCTGTTTTATTTTCTTCTACAAACTTGAGAGTTTACCTTATACTTTTAGGCAACTTAATTCATTCCAATTCCACCTTGGTAGGTGATGATAGGTTGGGATCCAGTTTAATGTTTTTTATTGCTGTGTCACCATCTACAAACTATCTGTCCTCTCCCCATTTATCGGCTCTGCCTTCTTTTCATATGTTCAATTCCTGTATCTAATTGCTTTAGCTCTTGATTACCTTCCAGTATTTCTTATTTTTTTGTTTCTTGCAAACTGTTTTAATTTGCATTTCCTTGCCTTTTGCAAGTTATTGGTCATTTTGTACTTTCTAATGCCATTTGTTGATATATCTTTGTCTAGTATTCTTTTGGGTTGCTTTTCTTTACTGATTTTTAAGTGGTCTTTATGTATTTTGGATTCTAATCCTGAGTGATGTGTGAACATATACTTTCTACAAGTGCATTGTATATACCTTAATTGTGATTACAGTGCCTTTTGTTTTATAGGAATTGTTAATTTTGGGTTAAAATTTAATAGTATATAATTTTTGTATCTGATTTAGAGGAGCCTGCCCTTCCCTGAGGTAAAAAATATTTCCTTATTTTCTTATGAAATTTTAAAAGATTTTTTTTATGATCTGTATCTTTATTAGATCTGGAATTATTGTGCATGATATGGGGATATAGCTATAATTTTCGTTTGATTTGATGTGAATGCCAGTTAATTCTAGCCAATAATATTTTAATAAAAAGTCAACTTTACTAAGGAATAATTTGTACAGAGTAAAAGGCACCAGTGTTAATTATACAATTCAACAAATTTTATATGCCCATGGAGTTACCACCATAGTCAAGATATAGAATATCCATCAGTTTAGGTAGATTCCCCTGCCCCCCAGCTCCCCATACCCTTGGCCCCAGGCTACCACTGATCTGCTTTCTGTTATTACAGCGTAGGTTTCCCATTCTTAGGATTTCATATGAATGGAATTTGTATCATATGTATTTTTGTATCTGTTTTTTTTTTCCTCAGTATGTTTTTGAGATTCATCTATGTCATTGCATGTATAAATAGTTTGTTCCCTTTTATTGCTGTATTTCATTTTATGGATACAATACAATTCGTTTATCTACTCACCTGTTGATGGACATTTGGGTCACTTCTAATTTATGGCATTATGAAAAAAGCTGGTATAAACACTTGTATATACATCAAGATGTGGACATGTTTCTGTGGCTCTTGGGTGGACTTGCTTCTTTCTATTAAGTGTTTGAAATAGCAAAGTGACAAAGAAGCCTACCACTGGAAGAGCGCAGAGACAAAATGTAGTAAGTTGAGCAGTAAGAAGTCTATTTAAGGCAAAAATGCACACTTGAAGAAAAGGGAGTATGGGCAACCTCAGAGAAGAAGCATGCTTAAGGGTTTAGGGTTTGAGTTTTTATAGGGCCTTTTGGGTAACAGCTTAAGGCATGATGTATACAAGTGATTGATAATTCCTTTGAAGTTTAGTCTTAATAATAGGGTTATTTAAGTGACTGTGTTGGTCTAGATCTCGGCATTCTTTATCCACATAGTTTTATTTGCACTTTGGAGGTTCATCTCCTGTCCCAGTTATAGTTACTTAATTGATTAAAGGGGTGGAAGAAGAGGAAGAATAGCATATAGATTAAGTTAAAGAATAAACTGGGTAAGTAGATTTAACAGTGGCTTGACCCTTGTTCCATTTCCCTGCCCTTTGAAACTTCAGCTAATTAATTCACTCTGTGAGTCTTTTCTGGCTAACTTTTTGAGTCCCTTTTAGTGGGCTTTACTGGCTTTATTCTCTCCCCACCCTGCTCATGTCTGTCTTTCTGCCTGACATTTCTACCACAAAAACAAAAACACACCAGCTGCATTTCTCATTGGGATTGTATTAAAGCTGTATATTAATTTGGAGAGAATTGATGTCTTGATAATTTTAAGCCTTCTAATCTGTGAATATGGTATGTCTCTCCATTTATTTAGGTCTTACTGAATTGATTTCAAAGGTGCCTAAGGGAACTTGGGGTCACAGGAATATTCTGTATCTTGGTTAGGGTGGTGTGGCATACAAATATACATTTGTCAAAACTCATCAAGCTGTACATTTAAATTTGTGTAGTTTACTGTTCATAAAAGGGACTTCAGTTACTATATTTCTTTCATTGACATGATTCATAATCATCTGCATTGTTTGACTTATGCATCATTTTATCTGTTGGTTCTATGCTCAAGGTGCTGCATTGGCTCATTATTGTCTTAAAGTCCCAATACCAACCCAATCTGGGGATAAATCCTGTAACATAGTAGGAAGGGGAGACAAGCCATATATATATATATAGTCAGCAAAGCACCTATGTCATGGACTATCACATATTTACTACAGTCCCTTTCCTTTTCTTTCTGGATTCAAATTTAGACTCCTGCTAAGCCTTACTTGTCAGTGTGTGTGGCGAAGTGACTGAGTTCTGGTTTATAGTAGGTGGGCAAAAGTGATGTGGACCCTCCCACACTTCCACCTACCAGTCACAATACTCCATACCTTTTTTTCTCTTCAGGCTTCCTAGATTAGAGACCATCACAGGGCATCCTTGGGAGCAGTGACCTGAAGATGGACAAGCCATAGGATGGAAGGAGCTGCATCTCTGAGTCACCACTGGAGAACAGTCACCCCCAGTGGATTTGGAGAGAAGTCTTCTCTAATATTCACTTCTAAGTCCCCATTGTAATCTACTTCTTTTATTCTCCAGCACTCAGTGTGGTTTAGGTTGAATTCTAGATTCTCATAATATCTTGGACATGGATAATAAGGAAAAGACCTTCACAGATATGTAAGGCAAAGCAGATCAAGACAAGCAGAGCAGGCTGAGTGCAGTAAGACTTCACAGGGTAAATGAAGGCCTTGCAGAAGAGCAGAGCAGTGGTGCAGAGGTAGGCCGCTGAGGGAGGTAGGTCCCCGGGTCATGCCAGTACCCACCAGAGATTGGCAGCACTATTTAGAGAAACTGAGAAAAAGCTCTACCTACTGCAGTCACAAAAGACTGGGCTCAGAATGGTGGGTAAATCAGGGATTAACATCTCCATTTGATGGACGAGGAAATTAAGTTTTATGGAGATTAGATTGTTGGCTTAATACAGTACCTTATTTCATGGTAGAGGCACAGTAAATATTTGTTGAATGGATGTACTAGTCTAAGACCTTTAATGCTTAAGCCTCTACCAGGGATTGAGAATTTGCCTATTAGGTGATCTGTAGAGCTGTGGTACTGGTAGTCAGGAAGATATGTGGTTGGGTACAGTGTTTTAAAAAGTTTGGATGTTAAGTGTGCTCTCCAGTATGCCCTAAGCCTTACCACTCCCTATTGCCTTTTAACTCACCCAATTACCATGTAACATCAACCGTCTCTCTCCTATGGCTTTAGTTGTATGGATTCCTTGCTTACACTTTCCTGTTCACAAGTCCCTCTTTAAATAGAGTTTATTCCTAACCCTGTCATTAGCCCTTTCCCATCTCCTTCCTGCAGTTATCTTCCCTCTTCCTCCCTTTATCTATCCACATATGTCCTCCGTATTTTCTCAAGCTTCTTAATGTTATAAACATAAATTTAGGCAGCTGTTTATAATATGATTGAACTAGGAAACCTGTGTAAAGAATAGAATTATACCAGATCTACTTTCTATAACTTTGTATTATACATATTTAAAATATATAAATATTATTGTACCATGTGGTTATTACGCAAACAAGCAGTGCTTATAAATTATACTTAAGGTAACCTTTATAAAAATGTCACAACTGCCTGGGTATCTTGCATGACTCATTGTATTTTTTCTTAATCTGCTGAACAAGGGGTTAGAAGGGGTCATCTTTAAGGAGCTTTACAGGTACACAGCCAAGGTTCTGTGATTACATAGTTACTACTCAGATGAAATGTAAAGCCAGGAAAAGAGGAGAGTGATGTAGTACAGGGTGGAAGTTGCTTGATACTAACTGGGCAGAGTTCTCCCAGAGACCTCTTCTGTAAAAGAAGCTTAGGAACTTACCTCGCTAGACTACTAGGCCCAGTTTCTCTGGAAATCCTGAGACCAGATAATCAGATGAAGCTTTACATCCTCATTTCTTTCCTTTCTTGTCACTTTCTGGTCATGATTCTCTCCACAGTCTGCTTGGTGCCCCCTCCTCTAGAACCTCAGGTGCTCAGGATCATCCCTTTTACCATACCCACAATCCACCCACAGGGACTGTGTTGTGTGGGAAAGGAACTCCTTCTGCCTCATCCTCTTCTTGCATGCCCCAGGAATCAACTCTCCAGAGAGTGTTGCTTTTTGAGGAAGTCTCTCCTGGGTTTTGTAGTTAATTCTCTTCCCAGTTCTGCACATTGGCTTTTACAGATCTCCACCATATTGGGAGTTACTTTTACCAGAGGAACTTAGCCATATTTAAAGAGAAAGCCAGAACTGTCAGTGGGAACTCCACCAACATGAAATCAGTTATTTATTGTTATGTCCTGCTGAAATATGGGAGACAAGGTAGTGAAAGTTTTAACAGCTGGGAAGGTTTTGTGTGTTTCAGTGTTTGGAAGACAGAGAAACAAAAGCTTAGCAAGCTTTCTGTGTCTGATAATGTGTGAACTGTCAGTATTTTCAAACTAGCTATTGCCTTTGTGAATTATGTAATAATCCAAACAAAATTTCACAAACCTTCAAATCAGTTGAAACCTAATGTGTATATTTGATAACAAGAGCAAAAACCGTATTTATAACATAGGAAGCCCTTATATTTCCTTTACTTAATAGTAAAGTTTAAGAGAAAAATGTGTTTGCTTGGGAACTTTTTAATATTTCCCAAACAAATCTAGCTAACATAAATCTGATAAAATACTTGTCCTATTAAAGTAGAAACATGTATTTTGGGAAAAAAAGAGGGGGTTATGTCAGCATTTCTTAGACATGTATATAACAAACAAAATTTAAATAAGCTTGGGAGACTATTTCTACTCGTAACTACTTTGAAGTTGTGGGCTTAATCTCCTAATTCAAATATAGTTTATGGCTTTTTAAATTAGGAAAATCTGATAGAGTCAATACAGTAATGTGGTGAAAACTTTATAAATGGCCAGAACTTTGGAAGATATTTGAAGAAACCAATTCTAAAATAGCCAGTACTCCATATCAGGAATGTATTAATTGTAAAATTAGTTAGGGTAACCAAAATGTTCTGGAATTGGTTCTAACAAAACAGATGAGTGAATCTGAATTAGTTATACTAAGAAGTTTGAGGAATTATTTAGCAGAAATAATGATTATTATGAACATACAAATTAGTAAAAATGGTTAAGAAAGTGTCTTGCCAATGGCTTTCAGCCCCAGGCAAGTTTGCTATGGATTCAATGTGACCAAAGAAATTGACAGCAAAACGTTCTTGGGGTGAAAGGGATATACCCAACTTTATTCCAGGTGGCAGGTCAGTTACTAGAATCCCATTCACTCAGAGCAAGTGTGCATGCAGCAAGCCGGTCTCTGCCTCTGGGCCCCTCTGCCCACACAGCCGTCTTCTGGGCCTCTCTGCACAGTCATCCCGCACAGCCGTCCTCTGGGCCTCTGTCCTCGGCGCTGCCACCACCCCAGCCTCTGCTCTGCTCTCCTGCAGCCTTGCAGCCCTGCCACCATGTGGCAACCAGGGCACTGGGCGGAGCTCTTTATATAGAGTCAACAGCCATGTGTGGCCCACAGGTGTGCAGTGAGCTAGTTAACCAGGGCCAGGTGAGAATCCTGGCCACAAGAATTCTCATTTTATCCACAGAAAGCAAAAAACAAAATTGAATATGTTCTATGACAAATTGGAAAATATATGTGCAGATTTATAAAAATTAGAATTTAATGTAGAAAAGTATAGTTACTCATTTTTTTCTGAATTAAAAAAAGCCTTTTTGAATGGGTAGCATTTTTTTCAAAGTGCTTAGGAATAATGCACAGGATGGTTATTGAAGGCCTCCATTGTGAGCCTTCTCTAATTCTGTGGTCAGCCTGCTATCAGCGACAGGCCTCCCTCTGCTGGGCAACTCTGGGCACACTGAAAAAACCTTCATGCTGTAAGTCCTCTCTTACTCCAGGTGAATACTTCCTTTTGGGCTCATATTTCGCTTTCTTGAAGCCCTGTACCCCGTAGTCTAGAAGAATAGGCTTATTCCCTTCAGCTGTATATCTCATTCTGAATTTTACCTTTTAAAAACATTCTCTGCATATATTCTGGAGTAGGTTGCTGGGTATGGTTGGGAAGGCCTCTCTTTTATTGGTGGAGATATGAGAGAAAATTGTGAGCTGGAGAAAGGGGGTTGAGAAGGTGGAGGGAAACTGACTAGAAACTCAGGATGGAGATGAAAAGCAGCATGTGCTGAATATACACAAAGGGTTTTGAGTCTGTCCTATATCTTGTACCATATGAAGAGCTCTGCAAGCAGTGAGAGTCTCTTCCCCTGAAATAGGTTCCCTCTGTTTTAATTGAGAGTTTAGCACAAGCTCTAAAGGAAATGGTGAACTTCACAGCCCTCACACTCCCAGGCACGCACTGTGCTTAGTGTTGTGGACCACAAGGCAAGCCCATAAAGAGCTTAAATTAGTCACAAGCAATAATTTAAAAATATTATGAACATTTCAGGAGGAACATGGATGGCTCTTTCTTGAGGAATTAATTGGCTTGCTTCCTTTCTCAGAATGTCAGGAAGGGAGGGAAGAGCCCTGAGATCCCAATGAGACCAGCAGAGACCCCCAGCTCCTAAGCAGAGAGCAATCTCTTAATGAGGCAGTGGGATTTCCAGCTTCAGGACTGTTGACTTCTCAATTTATTCCTTCAGTCTGAAAATTCAAGACAATTTTATTTTATGATGTTGCCAGAGTGCAGATTAGAATCACATAAGCAAGGATCCTGGCATTTGTTAAAGAGTAACTTTGCTTGTTCCTGGATGACTTCCCCCTACATTTGTAATTCAAAGTGGAAGTCATAGCTGTTTCACTCTTGGTTACTTGCATAATCACTTAGGAGAAGTAATAACAATTTAGTGTAAGTATGGGAAAATAGACATAAAGTGGGTAACAAAATATTACTGATGGTTGAAAAGTGAGTTAGCTCTGATGTGGGAATATGTGCAGAGGACTTAGACAAAATTGCTGCAGAGTTTATCTGTTCCCATCTCTACTTTCCTTCCTCAGCAGCAGGCCTCCCTTGCTCATTACTTTAGCCACTGTGTTGGCTCATCGTCTTTCTGAACTGGTAATAAACTGTTGTCTCTTCTCACCTGTACCCAGATGGTTAAGCAAAGCTGATGAAAAACACCTAACCTTGAATTTTTTGGCCAATATAAATCTTGGCCATGAAGGTCTTCTTTACTGCCCACCATTCCTGAGTTTCTCAGATCTGTTGTATTTCCACTTTACTCATTCAACAGATACTTAGTAAAGTACCCATTTTGTGTTATGTAGGCATTGAGGATTCAGTGGTGAACAAGCAGCCTCTGCTCTCATGGAACCTATATTATATATAGCAACTGTTTCTCCTCTCAGAGCTTTGGCCCCCACCAGCACCCATTTTCAGCTGCTATTTTACCTCCCACCTTCACGGGGAGGGTAGAAGCAGTCACAACGGTGCAATCACAATGTGAACTTCTTGACTGAATTGTATTTGGCGTCTTTTACTCTGAGTCCTGTAAAATTGAAGAGTGCCAAATTAGGATTCTTAACACGCTTAACTGAGACCAAGTCTTTAACTGCAAAGAAAATAACAAAGGGGTTATTTACAAAGGAATGGACAGGCTGTTACTCTCCTTTTG